GCATTTTACAATAAGGTTTCAAAGTCTGGCGCTGTGTGGCATTCTTTGCGACGCTACAGAGTGAAGCAGATGCCTCGATTTACGTACTAGGAGAGTGGGGGAACTCCCGACCGTTTACACCTGACTATGATCCCTAACTGTATTCTATAAACCCTCGCCGTGTAGACGTAGAATAAAGATCCTTGATATGTAACTTACATAAGTAATTACTCTGTAAGTCCAATTATGAGGTATTAAAATATGCTATGTGACAAACTATGCAGTAAAATACTCCCTGGGCATTCTTTACAATAAAAACGACAATGATAACTCTGTGACTAACAAAACCTATCATATAAACCCCTAGATACAACGCTAAAAATTACATTACATATTATTATTTTTAAGGTTACCAGCGTTAATTTTACTGTACTGAAAGACAATAAACAAATAATTTTTTATCTGTTATACACACAAATAATTCTTAGAATTTTTTAAACCCAGTGTTCACTGAGTCCAGGGTTCGAAGATTATGGACAAAATTGTGTGCAACAAAAGAAGTGCTGTACAAAAGAAAAAGCTCAGGTAAAAAGAACTTGGTGCATGTTTAGAAATAAAGTGTGAAGTGTCATAACAACAGTTCACATACCAACAAAAATTACAATCCTAGAAGATAACTATTGTTAAAAAGAAACTTCTATATAATCCTGACATTATTCTATTATGTGACTGAGAGTATAATTATAAAAGAGATCTTAGGGAAATACAGTTTGTGGGTGTTAGATGGATTCATCTGGCTCAGGTAAGGGCCTGGTGGCAGGGTGAATGTGGTAATGAACATTTAAATTCTATAAAATCTTGGAATGTTCTTGAATACTTGAGCGTACTATTAGCTCCTCAAGAAAGACTCTCTTCATGGAGTCATAAGGATTTTAACATAATAAAATTGCTTATGCAAAACTTGATTATGTGCTGAGGTAGAGAGCTTTACTTAAGTACATAACCTGAGGATATTGAGGCACTGCAAAAAGATTAAGTGAGCCAGTGTAGTTTGACCCAAAAAATAATTCAAGAACCTTAATCTTAAAAAGGTTCTTGAAGACTAGAGTCTGGTGATAGGTTCTGTTGTATGTGTTGTAATGTCAGAAAGAGTAACTCAACTCCATGCAGTGAGTTAGGTGCAATGTTTCTGAAAGTTACTGATAATAAAACATTGTGGCCTGACAACCACTGCAGTATCATGGTAATTAAGAAATGCTTTAGGAGAAACTTAAACTGCAAAGGTTAAACATTTTATCATGTTCATTCATAGGATATTTAATGAGTAGAGTTTATATACATTCCATAGATACTTCTTAACCTGTATCTGTTGCAATAAATATTTCCATGAAATTGTGTTTTGTTTCTGTAAACGGCCCCAGGGAAACTTACTTTGTAGACCAGCCTCGTACACTCCTTTTTGATATTTAGTAAGGTTAGCATTTGGCACATAGAGATCATGTTTACATCTTGTATTTAAATTATGCACATCTGTATTTCTTTTAAATTTATCCAAGTTTTCCACCACAAATGATAGCAAGCAGAGTATAAATTCACTTGCAAGTGGAAGTATATTAAATTTACGAAATATTTTCTACAAGGTACCGTACTTTGACACCTGCCATTATTCTAATTATTTTCTTTTGCATGTAAAAAACTTTATTACTGTCTGTTGAATTTCCCAAAAAGATTAATCCATATGACACTACAAAGTGGAAGTAAGCAAAGTAAACTAGCTTTAAAGAATCTATTGTCATGAGTGGTACAACTGTTCTCATGGCAAAGCATGCATAGCTTAATTTGGGAATAAAATATTCAATGTGTTTCTTCCAATTTAAGGTATTGTCAACTTGTAAGCCAAGGAATTTGTTTGTTTCAACTTCCACAATTAATGTTTCTTCAAAACCTATATTTAACCTAGGATATGTCTTGTGCTTCGTAACAAATTTTATGAAGTTTGTTTTTTCAAAATTATGTTGGCAAAGACATCATTCATGATACTTTCAAGGTAGATCAATTCTGGGTGTGTAATAATGATACTTATATCATCAGCAAAAAGAATAGGTTTGGACATAGAGTTTATAGTTGCCCACAGGTCATTGATATATATGAGGAAAAGAAAGGGTCCAAGAACTGAACCTTGTGGCACTCCGTGATTTACGATACCCCATTCTGAATAGGTATTATGATTGGTATGGGGGCTTTTAATTTATACTTGCTGCCTTCTATTATTTAGGTAGGATTTAAACCATTGTCCTGCTATATCTCGAATTCCATAAAACATCGTTTCATTAGTAATATTTCATGGTTTACACAATCAAATGCCTTGGCTAGGTCACAAGATATTCTACCCATATTCATTTTATTGTTAAGTGCACATACAATTTCATTAGTGAAACTAAATAGAGCCTCTTCTGTTGAGATTTTTTTTTCTAAATCCAAATTGTTCCTCTACAAGGATGTTGTTTGAGTTTAAGAAATTATTTACTCTCTTGCACATAACATTCTCAAAAATTTTAGAAATAGGTCTGTAGTTAAAGATGCATGATTTTTCACCCTTTTTATATAGTGGTTTTACTTGTGAATGTTTAAGTCTTTCAGGAAACATTCCTACAGCCATTGAATGATTACAAAGATAACTTGATGGAATACTTATATAATCTATGCAAGATTTAATTCCATCATAACCACATGAATTTTTTGACTTGAGAGAAGTTATTATACTTTTAATTTCATTTGGTGTGGTAGGAATAAGATTAATATTCGGAAATGAATTAGGAATTGCCTTAGCCAAGAACTTCATTGCATCTTCGGTTTTTGGGGTTATGGTATCACTGCTGTTCATTCTTTCTACAATCGTTAA